CTCATGTGAATGCTCACCAAAGGGTGATCTCAGCAGAGGATGATTTTAACAATCAAGTGGATAGGATGACGTGTTCTATGGAAACCACTCATCCTCTTTCCCCAACTACTCCTGTCTTTGCTCAATGGGCTCATTAACAAAGTGGCCATGGTGGCAGGGATGGAGGTTATGCATGGGCCCAGCAGCATGGACTTCCACTCCCCAAGGCTGAAATGGACACAGCCTGTGCTGAGTACCTAATGTGCCAGCAGCAGAGACCAACACTGAGTCCCCGATATGGTACCATCCCTCGAGGTGACCAGCCAGCAACCTGGTGGCAAGTTGATTACACTGGACCACTTCCATCATGGAGAGGGCAGCGTTTTGTCCTTACTGGAATAGACGGTTACTCTGGATATGGATTTGCCTTTCCTGCACGCAATGCTTCTGTCAAATCTACCATCCGTGGACTTACAGAATGCCTTATCCACCGTCATGGTATCCCACACAGCATTGCCTCAGATCAAGGGACTCACTTCACAGCAAATGAAGTGCGGCAGTGGGCCCATGCTCATGGAATTCTCTGGTCTTACCATGTTCCCCATCATCCTGAAGGAGCTGGCTTGATAGAATGATGGAATGGCCTTCTAAAGACACAATTACGGCGCCACCTAGGTGGCAGTACTTTGCAGGGTTGGGGCAGTGTTCTCCGGGAGGCTGTGTGTGCTTTAAACCAGCATCCAATATATGGTGCTGTTTCTCCCATAGTTAGGATTTATGGGTCCAGGAATCAAGGGGTGGAAATGGGAGTGGCACCACTCACTATTACCCCTAGTGACCCACTTGCAAGATTTTTGCTTCCTGTCCCCTCGACCTTATGCTCTGCAGGCCTAGAGGTCTTAGTTCCAAAGGGAGGAATGCTCCCACCTGGAGGCACATCACTGATTCCTTTGAATTGGAAGTTAAGAATGCCACCCGGCCACTTTGGGCTCCTTATGTCTCTGGCTGAACAGGCAAAGAAAGGAGTTACCATACTGACTGGTGTGATTGATCCTGATTACCAAGAGGAAATCAGATTGACATCACATAATGGAGGTAAAGAAGAGTATGTCTGGAATGCAGGAGTTTCCTTGGGGCATCCCTTAGTACTACCATGCTCTCTGATTAAAGTCAATGGAAAACAGCAACCTAATTCTGACATGACTACTAATGACCCAGACTCTTCAGGAATGAAGGTTTGGGTCACCCCACCAGGCAAAGAACCACGACCAGCCGAGGTGCTTGCTGAGGGCAAAGGGAATACAGAATGGGTGGTGGAAGAATGTAGTTCTAAATACCAATTACGGCCACGTGACCAGTTGCAGAAACGGGGACTGTAATTGTTATGAGTATTTGTACTTTGTATGTGTGCATCACATATTTTTGTTTCCTTCGCTTATAAAATATAAGCTGCAGATGGGGCTAGGGCGTTTTCGATTGTACGCATGTTAGTTGTATGATGTTAGGCGCAAGTATGACTTTGTCATTGTTTTTATTCAGAGATTATGTATGGTTTAAGGAGATGTGTACATGTGCCGAGTTGACAAGGGGTGGACTGTGACGGTTAAGGTTGTATGTCAACTTGCCTGGGCCATGATTCTCCTTTTTTTAATGTAATCACTCCCATGATTGAATATACTGTGAGTAGCCAATCAGATGAAAGGGAGTCTCCTTGGGGGTGTGGCCCGCATCTGTTTATAAGCAGGCATTCTGGCTTTTTGTTCTCTCTTAATCCTGCGGCTGCTTAGCGTCGTCGCATCTCCTGTTCTTGGGACTTGAGCTGTCAGCTTATTTGCCGAACCTGGGATTCGTCGATCTGCACAGCCTGTGAGTGGGAGCCCTGCTCTCCGACCTTCCGATCTTGGGCTTGTCAGCTTCTGCAGCTGTGTGACTGGGAGAGGCCTCTACCCTGATCCACGGACTTGGGACGTTCTAGTCTCTGCAATCATGTGAGCTGTTTCCTTGTTATAGTCTCTCTCTAAATATATACTTATACACTTTACTGGTTTTGCTTCTCTAGAGAACCCAGTCTAAGACACTTTTCTACTTTATTACTGTTGTTGTTTTAATTTATTGAAGTTTGTGGCTTTCTTTTTCAGCTCCAGGCTTCCCATCTGGGTACACCTGCTGTTGTGCTTTCCTTATTGGTGTCCCTCCCCATGGGTACCAGACATCACTGCTTCACTTCTAGGTTCCTTGATTGGGAGTGCTCGCGGTGTTACTGCAACACCAAACTCTATGGCTTGTAGCACCTGTTGTGGTTGCCTCAACACCAGATATTGGGGCATCTGTCGTCCCTTGCCCCCAGTGGTGCCAGCTATGTCCCGTTAGTGTCTGCCCCCGTTTGGGTTTACTAGGTGTCTCTGTTTGCTCATCACATATCTTCCCCCGTATGAGAACTGGTCATGTAACTCTGGCCTCAGATCTCAGATCCCCTCCTCAGGAGTTGCATCTGTTGCAGACTCACCACAAGCCTCCCCTCCTGATGATGTCAGCTGTACAGCACTAGCCTCAAAGTCCCACCCCAAAAGAGGCAGCTGTTGCTGATTCACTACTTGTCCTCACTGATCAGGAACTCAAGCTCACACTCTTCTCATCACAGTGTTCCTTTCCAGGACTCACTGGGCTCTGGCCCCTGCTGCACTCACCATGTTGCCCTGTTCCTGGTTTGCCTGCTCAGGCATTCTGGACTGTACTGTGTTCACTGAGTCTCTCTGTCATGGTCCTGACTACTCACAAATTCTGGTCCACACTTCACTCTCCACACTTCTCCCTCCCGGGACTCAAAGGGGCTCCAGTCTGCATTGAGCACGCTCCACTGTTCTATCCCAGGCCTGCTTGCTCAGGGGTTCTGGCTTACTCTGTGGTCCCAGAGCCTGTGTCCCTAGCTTTACTGCTCAGGAGCCCTAGTTTGCGCCACCCTTCTATGCCTTTCTATCCCAGGGCTGATTACTTAGAGCCTCTTGTCCCCTATGCATCCTGTGTGTTGTTCCAACCATGGGCTTCCTGCCTGAGGGCACTAGCTGCAGCTGCCCCAAGGTGGACACACTGAACTGAAAAGGGTGGTAGGGTGAGGACGCTTGGTGAACTTCCACTCTCTCGTCATCTATATGCTACCTTTTTCTTGATTCATTGTTCATTTGGGCCCTCCACCCCTCTAACTGATGTCCAGAGATCTGAGATTATCAGTTTCATCAGTTTTTGCTTGTTTTATTCTAGAATTGTTGTCAGGGGTGAGAGCAAGTGACTGGTTACACCACCATCTTGTTCCTCCCTTATTTCCTGCATTCTTAATTCAAATCAAGTTATATTCAAAATGAAGATCACTGTTTCGACTTTAGATTAAGCAGGAAATAGGTAAGAAAGAATGCATTTGAAAAGTTAGGGGCCAAGGGTTTACAATGGAAGGAAATTATATCCATAAATAATATAAGTAAAAATTGTATTTCAAGATGCAGCTTGCAGCCCCAGCGCTCCAGATCACCCTCATCCTGTTTTGCTTCTTCCGTAGCATTTATCAGCTTGTACTATATCATGTATTTATTTGTGTTTATTACTTATGTCTTCTCGACTAGAATATCAGCTCTGTTAAAGCAGGTATTTTTGTTTTGTTCACTGATGTATCCTAAGCACTTAGACCAGGGTCTGGCACATACTAGGCACTCAATTAATATTTGTGAACTGAATGAATACTGTATTAGTTTCCTATGGCTCCTGTAACAAACTGTCACACACGGTGACTTAAAACAACACCAATTTATTCTCTTACAGTTCTGGAGATCAGAAGTCCAAAATCAGTTTCACTGGGCTGAAACCAAGGTCTTGTCAGGGCCACTTTCCCTTCAGAGGCTTTAGGGGAGACTTCATTTCCTTGCCTTTTCCATCTTCTAGAGCTACATTTCTTGCATTCCTTGTCTCATGGCCCATTCCTTCACCTTTAAAGCCCCACAATGGAGCATCTTCAAATTGCTCTCTCTGCTGAGGTTATCACATTGCCTTTTCTGTTTTCTTCCATATTTCTGCCTTCCTCTTATAAAGGCATTTGTAACTTTATTTAGGGCCCACCTGGATAATCCAGGATAATCTCCCCATCTCAAGATCCTTAAATTAATCACATCTGTAAAATTTGTTAGGCTTTTAAAATTTTGAAGGCTTTCTGTGTCTGTCAGCTCTGGAGGAAGGTCCTTGTCATCAATCTTTCCCTGGACTAGGAGCTTCTCCATGCAGGAACCCTGGGTCCAAAGGATGC